ATTTCCAGCCTCCAGACCAGTGAGAGATAAGTGTCTGTTGTTCAAGCCCCCATTCTATGGTGTTTTTGTTACAGCAGCTGAACTAAGACAGGCACACTCAGTCAAAGAAACCTCAGAAAACAATTCAGTGTCAACTTTTTTTCCTGATAGGCCTGGAAGTCCTGCTGGGAGCATAGTGCTGTCTAGCACAGAATGTGCTCCTTCTGACCCTGTAGTGCTGTGACGGCATACCTGTTCACAGCAGGAGAAATAATTGCTCAGAGCTTGGATTCTGGGGTCTGAAAGCCTGGGTTTGAACCTCACCTTTTCCACTCACTAGCTCCACAATCTCGACCAGTTTACTTAGCAATCTCTCTGCCTCTCAGTTTTCTTGTCCGTAAAATGCAGATTTAATATTACTTACCCACCTTATAGAATTGCTGGAATAATTCAATGAAATAACGAAAAGCACTGGAAATAGAGTATGTAGCAAACTCTAAATAAATGTCAGTTGCTGTTCAGTCACTAAGTCTTTTGGGAAACATCTTTGGAGGAATTTTAGAGTATGCCACCCATCTAAAATTAAAAGAAGTTACAAATTAACATGTAAAAGTGTTCACTGTTGCCCCACCCCTTCTCCCACACTCGGAAACACCCCTGCCCACCACTGCCGACCGCACAGCTCGCCGGGGGTGGGGCTACATTCCGCCAGAGAGCAGGAAGCCAGCCCGGAGCACGTGTCTGCATTTCCTCATTTTACCTTCCAGGAAGAGAAGTCTTAGCACCTCGGGCCCCCGGATGCTTCAAGAGCCTTTTGTGCTCCAAAACACTGAGGGGAAAAAAAAAACACTGCAAAATCGGAATCAATAAATGTTTAATTAAAAGTCTAGAAAACCTAACATTATGCCAAGTTCATTAATTGTTCCATTTAGTCGTCATAAAAATTTCATTACACTTCATTATATCTGAAACAAATTTGTAGGTGAAAACTTGTCATTTTGCAAGAATTCTCAAGAATGCTGGACGCTCGGTGGAGAAATTGTGGCCTATTGTAATTAAATGAATTTCTTGTAGGCAAATAATTTTGGAAGCAAAAAATCTTTCGATCATAAAAATTAAAATTAGATGGGAATTCATTTCAAAACATTTGTTGGGACGTAGGGACAGGCTTTCTCAAAAGAGTTCGGACAGGGGAGGCATGGTGTAAAAACAGCCGGGGAATGGCGACACCCCCTCTCCCAACATCACACTGCTGCCGGGCGGCCACATCTCCTCTCCCCTTCGCACCTCCTGCCAATGGTTCTCCAGCACCCAGGGCCACCTTGCCAATCCCCTTCGCCTCGGATGACAATCCTCCAGCGGCCCTTCCTGTGCCCTCGGGGAAAATCTCAGCTTTCTACCATGGCCTTCAATGCCCTGGCCCCTGCCCACCCCCTGACTCATGTGCCCCCTGCCCAGGTCTCCTTCAGTGGCCAGTGCTGCTGGGGGGGTGGGGACCAGGACTCAGCACAGCCACCCATCAGTTCCCAGGTTGGGCAGTGTGTCCTCTTTTGCAGCCAGAGCGCAAAGCGGAGCCAGGACCCAGCGAGGGGGCCAGGGAAAAAGAAGGCACAAGGAATTATTTGGTGAATGACGGGATGAATAAACGGGGTGGCTTTGCTACCTCAGAGGGGACGGCTGGGATCATATGACGAAGATACGACTCGCTCAGCGTTCTGTGAGCACCTTCATGGGCACGATCCCATTCAACTCCTGCAACAACCCAGAGGAAGGTGCTGCTGTGATTACCTCTGTCAAAGGGAGAAACTGAGGCTCAGAGAGAGGAGTCCCTCGCTCTGGGAGCAGAGCCCTGGTCTGCCTGACTCCAGGGGACACAGGTGACCGGCGGAGCCCCGTCAATGGCTCTGCCGTGAAGGGCAGCGAGCAGGGCCGGGGCTGGCCCTTGCCTGGTCGTGTCCCTCGCCCTCCGCTGGTAGCTCTTGTGACCTCGTGCCGTCCGCCGCTCTCTCTGGCCACCTCTGGTTCTCGGGCCTTTGCCCCTGACAGAAGACAGGTCATTACCCACATTTGGTGCCTTCAGACCTTTCCACTCCCCCCCTGAGGTGAATTCACCGAGGAAATGTGAAAATAACATCCACGCTGCCTGGTAGAAGGAGACTGGGCTTTGCCAACACAATGAGCAGTAAAAATATCTCTCTTTTAAAGGAGAGAGAAAGAGAAATTTAAAGACTCAAGATCAGTAACATGTAATTATCATCGGGTTTGGGTGGAGAGTTCTAATAGTTTCCAGAAAAACACAAGCCATGAAAAAGGAGTGTGCTTTCCAAGCAAAGAGAGATTCGGGCTCTGGGGGTCGGAGGCGCCATCTTGGGACTCCTGTGGCCTGGAGGCCCATCCCGGGGGAGTGAGGGGGCACCAGTATCCCTCCCTCCCTGTCCCCGTCTACCTTCTACACTGGATAGGAGGTCCTGAGAGTATGGAACCTGCCTTTGATCTCGGCCTCGGTGGGGCTCAGCCTCGGGCCTGTTCGATAGACACGCCCCCGTGAATGGACACACCTCAAGGCACAGAGGGGTATCCTTGCTCCTTCCTTCAGGGGACAACACAGCCTCGCAGGGACAGCTAGATAATTCTCCAATATCTGTTGTCCCTTATTTTGAAGTAATAGAACCTCCAATTTTGGCTGGGTGCATGGTGGGCCAGAATAAAGACCATCTTTCCCAGACTGCCTTGCAGATAGGCCAGGCCCTAAGACTCAGGGGATGTCAGTGGAATGTGTGTGCAACTTGCAAGTGTTCTTAAAGGAAAGGTACCTGCCCTTCTTCTCTTTCCTCCTTCCTACTGGAAGGAATGCAGACATCATGGCTGGAGCTTGAGCAGCCATCCTAGAACATAAGGGCAACCTGAGAACAGAGGCCACAAACAGCAGAGCAAGAAGATAGAAGGGGCCTGGGTCTCGACACTATGGACCTGGACCACCTACCAGACTGTTACGGGAGAAAGAAAGAAGCCTCTGTATTGTTTAAGCCACTGATATTTGGGTTGAAGACAATCCTTATAGTCAAAATTACCTTGAAAATCTCTTAAATTGAGAAGAGAAATACAAGATAATCCAAATCTGTATAAGTGAGAATCCCGCTCAGTGTGGTGAGATGCTCACAGCAGGTTCACAGCTTCCGTGAATTCCAGACATGTCACAGAATGCTCTGGAAGGGGGAACCACTCGCATTAAATTGTTCCTTCTTTCTCTTTCTTGCTCTTTTTTCCCCCCTAAAGTATTGTGGAGACACCTCACATCACATTTTCTAACTTACGCAAATTTTGTGAGCACCTACCTAGTGTCAGATAGACATGGTTTTTCTTATTTACTATCTCCATTTCATAATTAAGGAAACTGAGGCTCAGAGAGGTGGTGACATACAGCTGGGGGAGCAGGGCTGAAGCTCGGATCAGACCTGCCCTGAAGAAGAAGGCAAGGCCGAGTCCTTGTCCAGGCGGCACCTCCCGGGCGCTCGGCCCTCCTGGCGTGGTGGTTCCTGCTGGAAGGTCCGAGGGACGGTCAGAGAGCCAGCGCGGAGGCCCCACGGGGCTCCAGGCCCCGGGCCGGTTGGTGAGCGGGCGCCACCTGGTGGCTACTCTCGGCACAGCTCCAAGCCACCCGCTGGGTTCAGCAGGAGCCCCCCCCCCCCCGAGGGCGCCCCCACGATCTCCCTCCACACCCCCAATTACCCGCATTTAAAATTAATATTTTCAGTTCATATAGAGATACCCGATTCTTTGGTTTTACGTAAAAGGGGAACAAAAGCATCCTTGTGGTTTCCTGTTTTTACCGAGTTGTCCAGCTCTCCACCTCAGACGGCGTGAGATCACCTGGGGCGCTCGGCCGCGCCCCAGAGGTTCGGAGTTAATGGGTCTGGGTGGGGACTCGTCGTCGGGTTTGTCCTGCTTGCTCTGCGGAGACAGCTTCCAGACGAGCCTCCTCCGGGACCCTTTTCCAGGGCTGCCCTTGTTCCCAAGCCCCTCCGGGTGCAGAAACGCTGGGGCGAGGGTCCCCCAGGGCGCGAGGACATCCGCTCGCCCTCCCAGGCCTCTGCAGCGGGGACCCTGAGTCCGGGTCTTCGGGGGCTGAGCTCCTGACCCTCTCGGCTGCCTCATCCAAAGCTCTTCAGCTCTGGGGCCTCAGTTTCCCCTTCTGTTCCCTGGAAGAGAACAGAGGCTCTGAACTGCTCAGCCCCTTTGAGGATTTATGAAAGAGATGGGTCCTTTTTCCAGAAACAGGTCCCAACCGTGCTCGTGACTGTAGATGGCCCTGGTGGCTGTGATCAGACTGCTTAGCTGGATTAACCCCCTAGTCTTCCTGAGGTGGCTACTTTTATTAGCCCCATTTTACAGATGAGGCACAGAGAGGTTAACATACTTGCCCAAGGTCACAAAGCCAGTAAATGGTGGGGCTGGGTTAGAACCCAAGCATCTCTGTGGCCTTGGACAAGTGACCTCACCCACCCGAGCCTCGATTTCCCCTCCGAGAAGAGAGGCCGGACCCAGCCCCCACCCTGTAGATGGGTCAGGGGGACACAAAGATTGGAGAGCACATAGTAGACACTCACTAAAGAAAGATGCACTGGGACACACACGCGATCCCTCACAGGGCACCGCCAGCTGTCTCTTCCGTGTGTGGGGGTCAGGTGGGCAGTGGGGGCGCCTGGAAGGTCGGGGAAGCCTCCTGGCCCTGGGGGATGCTGCGTCTTGCCCAGCCCAGCTCTTCCCTACCAATATCTAGACGGAGGCCTGCACGGTCTTGCTCATCAGTTCTACTTTCGATTTTGTTTCTCTCGAAAGCCATACACAGAAGTTTCATTTTCTCTAGAAGGCTGGTCAGGGCTGGCTCTTGGGCTCTGCTTCCGGGGTGTGAACAGCTGACACCGCCAGGTTGAAGCTGGCATTCCTTCATAGCTGCCGGAGCACGAGGCTCGGCCACGCCAGGACAGCCGGCATCACCGTGGCCCACCCTCAAGGCCGCGATGCAGGAGCAGGCCGCTGCCCCCCAGGCTCCCGGGCTCCCAGCTGCTGCTGCCGGCATGGCCGAGGCCCCTGCTGACCCGACCGACACAGGTACTTTCTTCCCTCCAAGGAAGAGTGGGAGCTCCCCGGTGGGACTTGTACTTCTCTCTCTGGTTCTTGGCCCAGATCACGGCGAAGGTAGCAGGGTCCCCTCAAGCACAGCAGTGACGAGGAGGAGAGCACAGCGTCCCCTCGGAGGGCCCCTCTGCCTCGGCACCCTGCAACACACTTGGTGTGCGCTTCACAATGATGCTCAGTGGTGAGCGCAATTGTGTTTCCATTTTCTGAATGAGCTCGAGACCGCCGGGCCCTGTGGGTGGAATGACTCAGGGCCTACGGCTGACCCGTCCTCATACTCATTTTGAGAAACAGCGGAAGCCGCTTTGATAAGATGCGCATGTGCGTGTTTTCCCCTTGTAGCATTCTGTCTTCAGATGACGCTTTCCTCCAGGAAGAATCACCAGTGAAAGTCAGCCGCGCACCGAGCGCGGCCGTGCTCTACGGTTGACGCTAAGGGTGCCACAGTGTGGGCTGCGGGCAAGGGCGGTTGTTTGGTTCTGTTTGTTATCATTAGCTCATTTAGTCCTCACAAGCTTTGAAGTTGATACTATTATTCCCATGTCACAGATGGAGAAACTGAGGCCCAGAGAGGTCACATAGCTAGGAGGTGGCAGAGCTGGGCCTCAAACCCTGGAAACCAGCCATCAGAGAACAAAAAGGAGAAAAAGAGGGTGTGCTGGGGAGGGGTGCCAGGCAGGGGTCCTGGGAGGGGTCCAGGGAGGGGTGCTGGGGAGGGGTCCTGGGGAGGGGTGCTGGGCAGGGATCCTGGGAGGGGTGCAGGGGAGGGGTCCGGGGAGGGGTCCTGCGAAGGGTGCAGGGGAGGGGTCTGGGGAGGGGTCCTGGGAGGGGTCCTGGGAGGGGTGCAGGGGAGGGGTCCGGGGAGGGGTGCCAGGGAGAGGTCCCGGGGAGGGGTCCGGGGAGGGGTGCCATGCAGGTAGGAGTCCAGGGCACTGGGTAACCTCATCTACCTTCTTCCCCGTTGGCTTCTCCCTTTCCTTACCAACCTGTCGCTCACACCTGGTCCATGTCACAGCTTCCGGTCACTGAGGTCTCCGTGCAGGAGGCCAGCCCCGCCCTTCCGGTTTGGCCTTCACCCACACCTGCTCCCCAAGCCTGCTTGCCCTTTGTGGTCAGGGCAGTGGAGGAGGAGGGAGGGGAAGAGGCTACCCGGGGGCAGGCTTTCCAAGAATCAAAACTCTTTTCAAGAAAGGCAAAGCCAGGGTCTGGCCCAGTGGCGTAGGGGTTAAGTGCCCGCGCTCTGCTTCAGCGGCCCGGGGTTTGCAGGTTCGGATCCCGGGCGCGCACCAGCGATCCGCTTGTCAAGCCATGCTGTGGCAGCGTCCCATATAAAGTGGAGGAAGATGGGCACGGATGTTAGCCCACAGCCAGTCTTCCTCAGCAAAAAGAGGAGGATTGGTAACAGATGTTAGCTCAGGGCTGATCTTCCTCACACACAGAAAAAGAAATGCAGAGCCAGGTGTGTAGTTAGTTGGACAGGGATCCCCTGGCTGCTGGGGTAGAATTTGGGGGGTGACGGGGCGGGTGCCGCCAGGTGTTCTAATGGCACCTCTAATTGCAAGGATGGAAACATCCTGACCGCAGGGCGAGCCACAGCGCCCAGCTGTCGAGTCAGGTGGGTTAGCCCTTCCCCAATAGTGCTGCCACCAAGGACCCCGGAAAAACCCAGAAGGTGAAGGCCAGCTGCTGCCCCGGAAGGGGACCCAGGTCTTGCCAAGAAGGGCCCTGCTTTGCATCCCCCTCGGGGTTCTTGGGGGCAGACATTTGCTGGCGGCAGACTGGGCTGCTGCCCACAGGCTCTCACCAGCCCCGCGGCCCTGTCCTCTCACCCCCGGAGGAGCAGCTGGCTGAGGCTTGTGGGACCCTGTCCGCAGAGCAGGGGCCATTCGGAGAGTTCCTCCTTGAGCCTCACGAGATCCTGCTGAGGGGTGTTAACCTCAGATGCGGAAACAGAGGCCCAAGAGGAGTCGCCGTACCCTGCTCCAGGTCATGTGGGCAGACATCCGTCCCAGGAGTGGGCAAATCCACTCACTCACTCATTTGCCCGGTCACTCATTCCTTCAAGGGCCATTTCCTGAGAACCTACTGTGTGCCCTGCACTGTGCTAGACATCAAAGGTACTACCGTGAGTCAGGCAGTCACAGCAGGGAATCCTGGGGGACATTCTGCAGGGGACCCACACACAAACAGCACCCCACCCACTCAGGGCATCCGGGACAGCTTCCCAAAGGAGATGGCATCTGAGCGAGACCTGGAAGTTAAGTAGACGCTGGACAGGTGGAGAGGGGGGAAGAGTGTTCCTGACATAAGGAACAGCATGTGCAAAGGCCCAGGGGTGAGTGGGGCTGGAAGGAGCGCAGACGGGTTGGCACTTGGAGGGAAGTTGAAGGTGGGTGAAGACGAAGCGGGGTGGTCGGCAGAGCCAGTTCTGGCTGCCGAGTGGAGAGTGGACCACAGGGAACCCGACTAGAGTTGGTGGAATTGCTGTCACCTGAGGTGGTGACGAGGAACGGGGAAGAGGAGGTGGAGAAGAGGAGACGAGGGACTCAGGAGAGCCAGGAACAGGATTTCCAGGACTCCGTGTTTGGGCATCAGGGAGAAAGAGCCGTTTCTGAATGTCTCTTGGGTCTCTGGCTGGATGAATAGCGACACCACTGACATGGATGATGAGCCCCAGAGGAGGGGCAGCTTCCCTGGGGGGCTCAGAGCCCAGCAGGCCTGCCTCTCCCTCCCCCGCCCCCACCCCGCTCTCCCGCCTCACTCTCCCCCGTCCTGCCGCCCTCCACTCCCCTCTGCTCTGAGGACCTCTCAGAGCTGAGCCTGAGAGCTGAGAGTTCCCACCTGCCCTCGAGCGCTCACAACAGGGGGAGCACACTCGAGCGCTCACAACAGGGGGAGCACACTCGGAAGGCCTGGGCACCTCCTCTGGCCACCAGGCTGTCCAGCCAAGGTCACCTCTGACCAGCCCAAGTGCCCCTCACTGAACAGAGGTGGATGTCTGCTCGGGTCTCTGCCCTGGACCCCTCTCGGGGGGTCTCCCTCGCCCCCCCAGCCCAGAATCGATTGTGGGGGGACTCGGTTCTCTGTCTGCCCCTCTCGTTGCCCAGACCTGGAGCAGAAGATCCTGCAGGTGCTGAGCGGTGCTGGCTCCCCGGTGAAGGCTGCCCAGCTGGCCAAGGACTGCCAAGTGCCCAAGAAGAGACTCAACCAAGTCCTCTACCGGATGAAGGAGGAGGCGAAAGTCCACCTCGAGGGCCCCGCGACATGGGGCCTGGGCGAGGGTCAGACTGGAGAAGTGGTTCCCACAGAGCGGGCCCAGCCCTGCCAGGGTAACCTGCCTCCGGGGCGGGAGGGGGGGGTCGGACCCTGCTTGAGTCCTGGCAGTGGACAGCCCCGATTCGGACCTGGGCTCAAGCAGGGGCTCTGCCCCTTGGGGGCGCGTGAGGTCCCCTCATCATGCCTTGACTTCTTTTTCTGGCCAGCGGAGATGACAGTAGGGCTGCATCATAGGGTTGCGAGAGGATTAGATGCAAAGGGCTCAGCCTGGTGCCAGCACATAGTAGGTGCAGAGTAAAACATTAATAGTAATAACAGAAAATGGTAATGACAACAACGACGATAGAGATAATAATAACAGAACAGACTTAGCATTGCGCTAGATCCTCCTTTCCAGCTCTTCAAAGAGCTGCCATTGTCAGGTACTCGCAGGGGCCGGTGCGGAGCCCGGGGGTCACCCTGCCCGCACCCAACCCCAGAGGTGGGTAGACGGCGTTCTTCCCTCTTCCCAGAGAGGTTAATTAGCAGGGAGCCTGCACAGCAGGAAAGTGGCAGGGCCGGATTTGAAGGCAAGTCTGTTCACTCTAGAATCCGAGTTTGGAACGCCCGTGCGCTGGGGCCACCCTTGTCTGGTGGATCCTCGTCCCCTCCCCTGTGCCTCCGCCCCCTGACGCATCTTTCTTTCTCCAGCAGCGAGGCCCCAGCAAGAAGTGGCTGCAATTCCGGAGACACCTGACCCTCAGCTCAGCAAACGGCGTAAGCATCCTGGTTTCCCTTCAGCTCCGGGACGCGGGCCCGTTTCCTCTGACCCCCAAACTCTCCCTGCCCACTCGAGATGCTATGAGTGTTCGGGCGCCATGCTCCCTGCCCCCTACGATGTCCCCACAAAGTGTTCAGAGGCAAGATCAGTGTTCGCGGTGGAAGAAGCTAAATGGCTGAGTCATTTCCTGACCAGGAGTTGACCCCCCTTGTGCGCCGACCACGTGCCAGGCACTGGGGGAGCACTTTATGTACGTCCCTGATCCTCAGAACAACCCCTGGGCCATGATTGTGATGCCCGTTTTACAGATGAGGGCACTGGGCACAGAGGGGCTGGGTCTGCCCAAGGCCGCAGGGCGGGTCAGCAGGGGAGCAAATTCAAACTCTGGGGGTCCTCCTTAACCACCCGCCATCCTGCCTCCCAGAGGAGGAGATCTACAGGTTTCTGGAAGCCAGTGGGCCCCACAAGGCCCTGAGCATCGCGCAGGCCCTGGGAATGAGGACAACGAAAGACGTCAACCGCGACTTGTACACTCTGAGGGACAGACACCTCCTGAACTACGACCAGAAGACAAGCGCCTGGGCGGTTTACCAACCAGGTGGGCCCTGGCCTGCTGCCCACATCCGGAGAGGGCCGGGGCGGAGCTGTGAAGAGAAACCAACACCCGACACTTGATATCCTTGCGGGGCGCCCTGCTGCGCCCCGTGGCTGCTCCAGCCCGTCAGACCCTCCCGGAAGCTTGCAGTGCTCTTGCTGACGGGTCACTGGAAGGGGGCTCCAGAAGGGAGGCGCTTGCTGGCGGAAGTAACCAGGGAGGGCTTCCTGGAGGCGTGGCCCGAGGCTGCAGTTGCAGAAGGCAAGGGGCTGGGAGGGGAGGTGGCCCACTCCTAACCATATCAGCCCTGGAGCCCAGGGCTCAGCTGGAGTTTGCTAACAGTTTCTGTAAGCACTTTGCCCCAACTTAAAGTGCTGGGAGAGAAGGCCAGGCTGGGATCAGACACCCGCAGGACGGAGGCCCAGGGCCGATGTATCCATTAGGGGCAGCAGGCACAGGGCCTGGAGCCCACGGTACTTTTAGGGGTCCACAGAAATGTTCTAATTTCTCTTAAAATCAGAAGAAACAATGAATGTTATAATACTAATAAATAGCTAATAATGACCCCAGCCTAGATTATATTTGTCTTTATCCCAAAGTAGTCATAAAATGTAATTTTAAACATTTTTTTTTATGGAGAAAGGGGCCCACGAAGGCACAAGAGCTGAGGGCCCACACAGGTGGGAACATGGCCCCATCTGTGGACTTGGTAAAGCTCCCGGCAGGTGCCCACCTGGCCCACGTGGGGCCGACGCCCCTGCTCGCAGTGCCCAAGGGGGTCTCTGCATCCCGGGAATGACGACGTGTGACAGCCACTGGAGTTTAAATACTGGCGACAAATCCAGATTCTTTGAAATGCCGTGGGAGCCAAACAAAGCTTATCGGGGGGCGGGAAACAGCCCACGGACGCCACCCTGCAGCCTCCCTAAAGGAGGAGGGGTCCTGGCACACAGTGGTCGGGCTGTGGGTGCCCCGTGGGGAGAAGGCAGAGGGTGGGCGAGCAGTGAGGCTCCCGCTATCCTCCGGGGGTGGCAGAGGACACAGGTGGAGTGACCCGCCGCTGCGGTGTACATGCCAGGCTCCTCTGGATGCCTGTGGCTTTTGTTAAACACGCCCTCCGTGGGTCCCGCCTCAGACCTTCTGACTCAGCACCCCCGGGGGGCGCCTGGGAATCCGTGCTTTAACAAGCGCCCCGGAGATTTTGGTGCTGCCAGCTGGTATTGGCAGCCCCTGATCCCTAGAGGGGCACAGAGGGGTCCAGTGGAATATTGTTTTGCAGAGGATTCTGGAGGAAGAAATCAGTCCGCCACAGTTATTTACCAGCAAAACCCCATCACCATGATCTGTCAGAACGGCCCATACAGCCACATATCCATCGAGAACAGTGAAGGCATCCAGATCGGACATGGGAACACCATAGTGAGACAGACGGGCTCTGCGGAGAACGGTGAGTCCTCTGGGAGACACCAGGTGAGGGACCTCTAGGGGGCACCTGCACCCTTTGGGTGGGGGCAGGGAGTGGGGGGCGTTCAACCCTCCAAGGAGAAAGGGTGGCTTTCAGATCTCCAAAGTCCTCCTTTGTGGCCTTCCTGAGAAGTTTTTCTTTGCACCTGGATCAAATCTCTCCTGCTTTCCTTTCATTCCAATACCTTTTGCCTCATTTTCAACAGGACCAGATATTTTTCCATAAGAAACAACTCATTTCACTCTCCCTCAGTAGAATGTCACAAGGGGTCACTGGAGTATTTTATTTGTTCTGAGACACTATTTTTTCACATCTCAGAAACTGGGATGCATCTTACCAGGGGCATCCTAGTTCTGATGAAATACATCCTGCAAACAAGTGCTTACGCCACGCCAGGCACCGGGCGAGAGAGGCAGGGCCACCTGTGTCCAGCCAAGGGACCCAGGAGTGAGGGCATCAGCCCAACAGTCAGGACACTCCCTGTGACCTCAGGAGAGCCCTTCCCCACTCTGGGCCTCCATTTCCCCAGCTGTGAGATGAGGAACTTTGTTCTAGAATCTAGATCAGCATTTCCCAGCTTCAGTCCATGGCCACGCCCATGTCTGATTATTTGCTTAATGTTGTTAAGTAGTTTACCTTTCTATTCTACTCAAATTTATTTTACAATAAACTTTTATAGCATTACCTTGACTTGAAAACCAGGAAGGTCACCACAAAAATAAATGCTGAAAAAATAAAACTGTCTTGGAGGCTCTGGGCGCTCGGCGTCAGGGGACATTAAAGAGACAGTAACCCCAGAGGGGACTTTCTCCTGATGAGCCCCGGGGACTGACTAGGAAGCAGAGGATGCTCATGTTTGGGTCTTTGAGTGCCCCAGGGACCCCCAGTCCAGCCGTAAAAACCTGGGGAACCTGTCCTGCTGGGTCCACCCGCTCTCCTGTCCAGAGCCTGAAATGATCATTCCTGGTCCGATGGTGTCCAGGAAGCATTCAGAGGCCTGTGTCCTCTGTCCAGCCAGGATTTGCATGTGTGTGTGTGTGTGTGTGTGTGTGTGTGGTGTGTGTGTGTGTGTGGTGGGGGGGTGGTCAGAGAGTGGAGGTCAGAGGTCGTGTTGCTGTGTCCCCTGCCAGGCTCGGCGGCTCCCCTCCACCTCCCACCAACAACGCCAGCTGATGCCTCCACTCAGGGTCCCCTGGCTGGAGCCTGCAGCCCCCAGGACATCCGCATAGAGAAGTCTGTGCTCAGACGGGTGCAGCTGGGACATGGCAACGAGATGAGCTTTCACAGCCCCCCGGCGGAGGGGCCTGCCCACAGTCCCTCTGGCAGCCCCCCAGGTAACTGGGGGTCACAAGGCCAGACCCGCCCTCACCCCACCCCATCCAGCTAGTTGCACAGTGAGAGGAATGATGGGAAATTCCTTGCCTTCCACCAGAGGCTATACCAGAGTAGAGCAGGTGGGGCTTTTAGAGTTAGCACTCAGGGTTCCCATCCCCTAGCCCCCACCAGGAAACCTCAGTGTCCTCATCTGTACAATGGGCATGGGGAGGCAAAGGCTAGGCCAGATGAAGCGAGGACAGAGGAGACGGCCAGGCTGGAATGGCATCTAAGGAGGGTGGGGGGCAGGAGCCACCTAAGTGGAGCGCCGGGTGCCCTACTAAGCACCGTGGACAGTGACCAGAGGGCGCGGGCTGCGTCCTCCCCAGCACTGGTCATCCCGAAACAGGCTGGGGGAGAAAGACAGCAGAGAGGCCTGAGAAGGAGGGGGAAAGCCAGCAAGGCCAGGAGCAGAGTTTCCAGAAGCAGGGAGGCCAGTGAGGTCTGGGGAGCTCCGTGGGGTCCAGCAGCAAGGGGTCGGTGGTGTCCTGAGGGGACAGAAGGAGTGTGGGGAGTGGGAGGAGGCGAGATTGAGTGTGGACAACTCTTTTCCCAAGTTTGGGGGGAAAGGCAGGAGCGAGATGTCGGGGCCAGGGACCCAGCTGGGGGCCACGTGAAGATTTTAACCAGAGATGGAGCCGGCGTGCCCGTGCTGCTGGGAAGCAGGGAGCAGAGAGATCGGGAGCAGGAGGCAGCAGGAGGAGGGAGAGACTGAGTCCCAGGGGGAGACGCTGAGGACCAGGTCGGCGGGGCTGGGCTGCAGGAGGAGGTGGGACCCGAGCTGGCAGAGCAGGGGAGGGGCAGAGAGAGCCGGCACCCCAGGAGGCGAACTGTGTGCAGAGGGGTGGCCGTGGGGTGGACAAGTCTCCCTAAAGACGGAGCAGGGCGTGGGCCACTGGGGGGATGTTCGGGGAGGAGAGCTGGCCACGGAAGACTTGGAAGCCAGGCTGGGGGTCACGGCTCCGGGGCCACCGGCCAGCTGCTCACACACCCCTCTCGGCATGTCTCTCTTTGGCCGACCCACAGTCTCTGCCACCTCTGCCAGCCCAGAAGCTGTGTTCGAAATTCGAACGCCCGAACCAGGACCTCACCCCCAGGGGGACATGGTCCAGAGAGTCCAGATCACTTCATGCTTCCTTGAGGACACCGCCATCGGCAACAGCAACAGAATGACTGCCAGTCCAGGGCCAGCGGGTCCAGAAGGACCCGCAGGGCCTGGGGACACCAGGAGGGACCATGGGGAGCCCGGAGAGGATGCAGGTGAGCCTGGGGCCCTGTGGGCCCTGCGCGTTTTCTTTCTTTCTTCCTTTCCTCACCTTACCTTTCTTTTCCTTTCCTTCCTCCCTCCCTCCCTCCTTTCTTTCTGTCTTTCTTCCTTCCTTCCTGCATTCATTTCCCGGAGTCTGGGAGGCAGCTGAGGGTCACGGCAAAGAGCAGAGTCTGGAGTTAGAATGCGTGGGGTCAGATCTTTCCAGCCGAGTGAGCTAAGCCGTCACCTAGCTCTCTGAGCCTGTCTCCCCATTCGTAGCGAGGATGAGAAGAGCCTGTGGGGACTGGGTGAGCTCTGCAGACACGGCCTCAGCTCTGTGCCGGCCCTGCAGGCGCATTCAGACAACGCGCAGTGTCCTCGTCACCATCACTGTCCCAGGCCTCGAGAGAGGCTCCACCTCAGGCACAGGCCGACCTGCGCAGCAGAGAGAGTGGCTCCCACCTGCCCAAGGTGCAGGTCCCGCTCACGTCTGTGGAGGGGGCCGTCCAGGCTGGCGGGAGGCACAGACCTCGGGCCTTCTACCTGGGCGCTCGGTGGTCCCGAGGGCTCTGTCCTCATCTGTGCAGGGGGGCTCCGGAGGGCCACCCATTCCCCTTTGACCAAGCCCACCTCTGCTCCTGGGCTCAGGCTACACTTGGCTGCGAAGGGGGCTGGGAAACGTCACGTGAGCCCCCCTGAGACTCGGGAGAGGGGCTCCACAGTCGACAGGGAGGCGAGGAGCACGGACACTGGTCCAGTCAGCAGCAGGGCCACAGCCCCTGCCCCAGGCTGTTGCAGAGCCAGGAGATTCCAACTCGGCCCAGACCAGGCTCCTGCCTGAGCCGGGGACTCAGGCGCAGCTCAGAGCAAGGCGGTGGTGGTGGGGAGGGTGCGCCGGTGCGCGTGGGCGACAGGCGGGGACAGGACGAGCAGGGGTGTGAGCGTGGCCAGAGTGTGCTGCTGCAGGGAGAGCAGAGCCCAGAGCACAGCTCCAGGCGCGGCAGGGACTTTGGAGTCCATCCCACGGCCGCGGGGAGCCGCAGAGGGGCTTTGAGCAGGAGAGAACGATGAGACCTCTGCCTTCAGTGTGAAGACAGGATTCGGAGGGGGAGTTCAGCTCCCAGACGTCCTGAGATTTGGACTGAGGAGTCGCGCCAGTCCCCCCAGTGGCTAGGAAACCTCAGTTGGCTGGAGGCTGGTGGACTGGCCGGCGTCGGCCAGTGCCCGAAGCCCCCACGGACACTTGTCCTGGACATGGAGAGGGTCCTCTCCTCCAGAGGGCCGTGTCCTGGCTGGCCCAGCAGGGGCCTCAGGCCCCACTCGCCCTCAGACGCTCCCTCACCTGGAGACAGAGCCGTGAGCAAACAGATGCAGTCCCCGCTCGGGGAGGTCACAGTCCAGCAGAGAATAGAGTCAACTCAGGAAGCAGTTGAGCATTGCAGAGACCAGCACTGTAAAAACGTAATAAACCCAGGGATGGGCGGTGGCCACCACGGGGGAGGAGCTGCCTTAGTCAGGCAATCAGAGAGGGCTCCCGGAGGAGGTGACACCTGAGCTGAGCTGAGGGGAAGGAGGAGGCAGACAGACAGCTGGAGGGAACAGCACGTGCAGGGGCCCTGAGGTGGGAACAAGGGAGGCGTCTTGAGAATCAGGCACAGGAGCCTAAGGAGCGGGAGAGAGTGGATCCGACGAGCGGGCCGGGTCTCCAGAGCCAGGAGGCCCAGGGGAAAAGTCTGGATCTCATCTGAAGCGAGCTGGGGAGCCCCTGGCGGGTTCTGAGCTGGGGCCTCGTGATGTGGTGCACGATTTAAAGGTCTCACTGAAGACAGTTTGGGGACAGAGCAGAGGGGGGCCCTGGTGGAAGCAGGCACTACTGCAATGGCCCAGGCGAGAAGGGACAGGGGACCTGGAGATGGGGACAAGGCCAGTCCACCTGGCCAGCTGTGGCCGGGGACAGCGGCCTAGTCCCCTGTGGACCAAACCACCTTGGCTGTGCGAGGCGAGGCGGCTCACGCGTTCCTCTGGCAACCTCTTCTCTTCCTCCAGCTCCTGCACCATCCGGGGGCGAGCGCCCCCACAGCGCGGGTCAGGCTGCCCGCGACAGCGTTTCCACGCTCGCCGCCTCCCTAGAAGCTGTGAGTCTCGAGAGCAGGGGTCCCGAAACCGAAGAAGACGGCCGCTGAGTGGACGGAGCCCCAGGGCGGGGTCCGGGGGCAGTGGGCTCAAAACCAACGGCCCGCGGGCCGACTCGCGCAGAGAGAGGCCGGGCGGCATCGCCTGCGAGCTGGGCACCGTGTTTTCCATAAACGGCGTTGTCGACCGTCTCGACTCCTGACACGTGGCCAGCGTGCGTCGGCATTGGGGTGGGCCTGGCATGGGGCCGGGCAAAGGCGGGGTCTGCTGGTGGCCAGGGCAGCCTGACAGGGGTCGGTTGGGGACTCTCGGGGTGCCGAGAGGAGGGGCTTGGCGGGAGTGGGGCTCAGCCAGCCAGCAGAGCCCGGGAGGCTCTCCCCATCCCTCCTGGGCCCGCCTTCCACCACGGTCCACTCTCTCCTCCTCACTCAGGGCTGACTTCCTCAAGGCCCATGGTGCTGCCTGACCTCTTTACCCCTTGACTTTTCTAGAACCTTCCCCACTTTGGCCCTGATCTCTCAGGATTTCTTAGCTGAACTTCCAGAGAACCAACCCCTCCCATCCAGGCCCCAGCGTAAGTCATTAACCAGCCTGTGGTCAGGTGACCTCAGCTTGTGGGGGTCTGAGTTCCCTTAGAAGGGGTGTGGGCGCTGCACCATTTCCAGAACTAAGGATTGGGGGTGGGGACCAGTCCACTTGGGGAGGGAAGATGGAGGGAAGCTGGAGAAGGATAGAGGCAGGTGGCCGTCAGCCAGGCAGGACCATTGTGGGACAGGACTTACGCCCTCCACGTGCACACACACAGCCACGTGTCCCCTGGCCCTCCCAGTGCCACGTCCACACCTCAGGTGGGCCTTTCTCACCCTCTGCTGTGTCTCCTCCACTGGACCAGGGGCGTCCAATGCCATGAGCCATGTCTGCTGGGCTAGTGTCTCCTTTGGGGGAGGAGGGGCTGGCTCATCACAGAACCTCAGTAAAGAAGGTCATCAAACAAATTTTTATCTCCTTTTCCAACTGGACTGGGAGAGTCTCTAGGGCGGGTGCCCTGACGTGTTGATCAGTGCCTGGACCAACACATAGCACTTACGGTGTGTCCCTTAAAGGGGAGTCTTAAGGCATTGTTTGAGCTCCTGGATCCAGTCATTCCTGAAGCAGGATCTATCTTTGCACTTGTCCATTAGATGAGCCAATGGGTCCCCTTAGCGTGGAAGTCAGCTCGGTTTCCCACTGCAGCATGTCCCTCTCGCCTCTGCCAACCCCCTTCCTTAGCTTGACACTACTCAGCCTGCAGGTGTCAGCTGAGACATGACCTCATCTAGGAAGGCTTCCCGAGCTCCCGGTCCAGCTTGTGGCTCTTCTCTCTTCCTGAGGGCTCCTGTGCTTCCCCATCAAACCTGTGCCTCGCTGCCCTGTCATTGCCTTGTTCTTGTCTGTCTCTCTGTATTCATCAAGACTCATTTGGCTGTGAGTGACAGAAAGCTGGGACCTGCTCCAGCACAAAAGGGGACGTGTTGGCTCTTCTAATGTAGACAAGTCCCAGCATAAAGCCTGCTTCAGGAATATCTGGATCCAGCTCAGACAATGTCTTAGGACTCAGCCTCCCTCTCTCCAACTCTGCTCTGCTTGCCTCTGTGTTGGCAAAGATGGCCCCTGGAAGCTCCAGGCCCCCATGCCACCAGCTCAGCTGCCCAGTGGAAGGAGAGCCCCTCTTCCCAATAGCAAAAGCCATGTCGGATGCCTCTGGTCATGTGCCCATCCCCCAGCTGCTCATTAGTCTCAGCAACGGAATGTTGTGATTAGCCAACTGGTGTCACATGATCTATCCCTGGAACCAGGAGGAGGGTCTGCCACGGCCAGTCACGTGGCTTCGGGGCAAGAGATGGGCAGTTCTCTAAAGTTACCAGAAAAGGGATGCGGCCGGACAGGCCGGAACCTCAGAAGTCCGCTGCATTCCCAGCATCGGCCAGTGGATTCACTGGGCTCAGGGGCCTGGCCTTTCACTTCTGTTTCTCCAGTGTGTGCCCGACAGGCCCATCACCGACCCCTCCTGTGTGCCAGGCCCCGGGGCTGCAGACAGAGGGAGGCAAAGCCCCGCCCTCAGGGAGCAGGGCACAGTCAGTGGGAGAGGCGGGCACGGTCACGGGCAGCGGGGCCTGAGCAGGAACAAGGGAGCCCAGACACTGCCTGGGGGCCAGGAGGCTGCCCAGGGGCAGAAAACCCTAGAGCTCACTCTTCCACACTGGCCGGGGGAGGAGCTCGGGTGGGAGGGGAATGGTGCTCCAGGCAGGGCACAGCAGGGCAAAGGCGTGCCGCTTAGAACAAGACGAGCTATTCAGAGCACCACAGCCGTCGGGGGCCGTGGAAAGCAGAGTACAGAGAACATGGACGTGGGAGGCCGGCTGGAAAGGGAAGCGGGGGCCAGGCCACACAGGCCTGGGCGTGCGGACCTGACACTGGGTTCTGAACCAGCCCAGCCCCGCCTGCGCATGTATTCCGGGGAGAACTGGGCAGGTCCACACAGCAAGGAAGCTGGATGCATTATGGGCGGCGGGGGTCTCGTCCCAGAGGCTGGAATTGCCCGGCCTACTGGGGGCAAAACTATCTCGGCCACCGTGGTGACCTGGGGCCCCCAAATCATTCCGTCACGGGATGTCCGGCTTGCAAACATGCCACCAGCTATAAGAGGCTTGAAATCTGGTTAGGTTCGTGTTTCTGGGGTTGTTTTCCCTCTGTGGTGAGCTGAAAAACGACCGCTTCCCTCAGAGTTTGCCCGAGGTCTGCGGTTAACCAGGCCACGTCAGTGGAGGATCAGAATGCAGCTCAGAACTCAGCCTCAGCTCCCACCTCCAGCCCAAGCCGGAATACTCATTTGTCCTGCGCGATTTCCCCATCTGTGTAATTAATTTGTCATAAACACGCTGACAAAGCATTGCCCGCGGTTAATGGAGGCTGGAGGTCAACGCTGGTCTCCTCAGGAAGGAAATTAAGCAGCTACCATCAAAAGCAGAGAATGATTAAGTCTGTCCACCCCCCAGGCCTCGGCTCACACTAGCTCAGCCACCCTCTCCCTCCAGGAACGACATGTACACACAGAACTTGCAGCTCTGGAGCTGGCCTGGGCGGGGGCTCAGCGGGAAGGAATTGGCTCCATGCATTAGACGTGATTCTCCAAAACCACTGTGACCTGCTCACAAATGCAATTCTATTTTCTCATCGCAGCTTCTCTACTCGTGTCAGGCTGAGCCCGGACAGGACTCCTCACCTGTGGGGCTTTAGCAGACAACCAAGATTAGAGGCTTTGAGCAAAAAAGAGTCTAGGGAGTAATTCAGGAGCATTTTGGCTGCAAGTGACAGAAACCTGGCTCACCTAGGCTTAAAAAAGGGAATCTATTTGCTCATGCCACTGGGAATCAAGAGATACCTAGCTTCAGGAATGGCTGGATCCAGGTGCTCAGGCATTCTTTTCAGGCGTCTTTCTCTCCTTCTCTCTGAAAGACTCCATGTGGCTGCCAGCCACCCAAGGCTTATGGGCTACCAATTTAGCAACCCCAGCAGAAAGAGAAGTCTTCAAGCCAAATACTACTGGTAGCATGTCCCAGGGAAGATTCTGATTGGTTGAGCATGTGTCACATTCTGATCCTTGACCCAATCAGGGAGAATGGAGTACTTTGACTGGCTAATGTGGGGTCAAATGTGCTCCCCATGGCGGGGGGAGGTGAGGTCATCCACGTGGACCTGTTCCCCAGGAAGTAGAGGGAAGGACGCTGCACTGGCCAGAGTCAGGTGTCCACTTCAGGAAGGGTGTGTGAGTGTTTCTTCCCAGGGTTCCCCAAACCAGTTAGTTACAAGTCAGTTACAGAAAGCCCTACTCAAGTTGGCTTTTTTATTTAAAAAGATACATTCACAAGACATTTGAGGAAAGCTTCCAATATGAGGGTCAACAAAAAGCAAACAAACATAAAAGGGAATTATGAAGAAATAGAGAAAATGCAGAGAACAGAAGACGACTGCAGAGCTCTGTCATTAACACCCTCCAGAGGAGGAGAGGACGGCTCCACCAGGACACAAGAACGGTTTGCTCAAAAAAAGGAAGTTTAGGAAGACGAAGACAAACTCCTGGACATTTTAACTATGAAAGCTGGGATTAAAAAAAAAAAATAGAAGAGTTGGAAGAAAATGTTGAGAAAAAATTTCCCAGATAGGAGATAAAGATTTGTTTATAAAATGGACCATAACAAGGGGACAATAACAGAGGCGAGGAATTTACAGGATTCATTGAGTCAGCCCTGTATCTCCTACATGGAGAGTGTGGACAAAGTGGGGGTATGAATTATCAAAAAAAAAACAAAAAAAAACCAGTTCCAAAATGGAGGGCCATGAATTTCTAGATGGCAAAGCCCTCCTACCGCTTGGCAGGTGACCACAAAATCCTCAACCCAGGGACCTGTTGTGATGAAATTTCGGAAAACCCGGCATAAAGAGACGATTCTAAAAGGCTTGGAGATTAAACAAAAATGTCACATACAAAAGAGTATGTTCAAACAACATAGGGCGGCTCTACAGCAACCGGAGGGTAGAGGAAACGCCTTCAGAATTCTCGAGGAAAATACTTTCCCCCTGGCGTTGCTACCCTGCAGAATACTCAGTGAGAGAGAGGGTCATAAGGACCTCTGCCAACAAAACAGCTCAAAGCCTTTCTCTCCCCAAACAAGGGGCACAGTGAGAAAGACCCCAGGGGAAAAGGAACTCAGTGCGGGGGAGGGGCGAAGGGTCTGAAGCCTGATGATTCACAGAAAACCAATGAAACAACTACACCTGGCCCGGGGTGAGCGGCTGCCTGAACACGGGAATGAAATTTCAAGTGGGAAAATGAAACTGAGATTTTAAAAAATGTATTTATGGATTTGTTAAGAACTGTAGATGGACATATTGCACATCTATTGGAATTTTTGAATTTAAAAAAAGCAGTACTTCTAAAAATATATATATATATATAAGGATGTTTTTTAGCTCTTGTAAACAACAGACTTCCGGTAAGGCCCCTGCCAGC